CCTGGGCTATTTCCTTGTTGCATTTTTCTCCACATTGCATATATAATCTGTTTTGTAATTAATATTTTTTCTTGTCTTTTCATGCTTACTAAACCCTTTGCAAATGGCTCTTTGACATAAGGGAAGAGTATATGCGTAATATGGCATTTCAGATTAAGCTTGTTACTTTTAACAGTACATTTTGCTTGAGAAATGATTACACGTTATTCTATTATTATTTTTTTTTTTAATTTTAGGCAATTATACTTTTAACTGAACTCATCAGAGAGAACTTCAGAAATAGCAAATTGAAACAATGCCTTTTACCAGCGCTTGGGGAGCTTCTTTACCTCATAGCCAGCAAGGTAAGACTGTCAAGTAATCATTACAAATTTAACAAATGTGAAAGAAGTTTCCCGTGGAAATAAGCAAATTACTTTGTCATTTGTATCCTCAACAGTTTCTTGTGCTTCTGTGTCCTGTGATACTTTTTCTACTTCAAGAAATGTGTTAGTCCAATCATATACTTCATTTGAGATAAACTAAATTGCATCCTTCAAGTATAGATTTTTTACTTCATAAAATAATTTGCTCAATCACCATAATGACTACTGGCTTCCAAGTGGCAGATCTAAGTGTTAGAGCATCTTAGCTAGAGACTGATTAAATAGGATGTATCAGTACAGCTTTTGATATCAAAAATTTAACATATCGAGTCTATATTAGATCTTATCCTAGCATGATTGGTTTCACAATGCTGTGGAAAAGGAAATTGAGTGATCCTGACTAATTTCAAATGGAATTACAGTGATTCCTGATTAGAACTGATTTAAACCTTCAGTCTAGAAATATTTGATTCACATTAAAAATAAACAGAGGTTATTTGTGGAGAAGAAATACTATTAATAGTAGGCATTGAAGATGACAGCTCCTCTAAACCTTCACCTTTTCTTTTCCCTTATTCAGAGTAAAATACTTTCTTTTGTTTATTAGAAACAAAGGTGACTTCAAACAGAAAAAGCCTAGCCCTGGCTTCTCTGAAGCATTTGTATTAACTGTATCATCTAATTGCTCTGAATGTTGTCTTGTTAGTTATCAGTCTATGAGGTCACATGGTGAAGGAATGAAAATACCAAATGAATCTGTATTTTGGCTTACTGTAGTTATGGCTTTGTGCTGAACTTCGATATTTTATTGTTCTCATCCCCTAGCTCCTTTGCATGTTCCAGAAGATTAAACAGTTGCCTTGTTTTTTGTAGGTTAGGCAATTGCCAAAATATCTATCAAACATACAGACTCACAGAACTTGTTCTAACACTGAAAAATTATGTTATGGAAAATATATCCACAGTCATAGTCTATTTTATATAAATCTATGCATTATATATTTTAATACCTTCTCAGTTTTCCTCAGGGGACAATATTTGTACTTAGCATCATCAGGCAGATTGCAAACTATATAATCTTTAACCACTAATAAAAACAAATAAACTTAAAAATCCAACTTGAAAATTATATTTGGCAAGAGTATTTTGCACTGCTTGATTTTATTTTGAAATTAAACTTTAATGATTGAAATGAATCTGTTTCCACTGGCTCTATAACAGCAGAATTACTGGCATACACTGACCCCAATGGATTTTTTATTTATTTTATTTTTTTCTGAAAATGTGAACTGGCAAGTTTTTGAGTCTATACTTATTTATGAACACCACAACGTTTGAAACGTGGTGACTTGTATTTAAATGACAAATCCATCATGTTTCAGGATTGGATTGCATTGCTTTGAGTTATAACTAAGAAATTAAGATCTACAGTAATGGGTTGCATTGCTTTGAGTTATAACTAAGAAATTATTAGAGAATAGGAAGAAATATTTGGAACTACTGTAAACCTGAAGTCGAGGCACTGTGTCTTGGTAAAACTTCAAAAATATCAGTGATTTGTATGCTTGAAGACACTAAGCTGCTTTTTTTTTTATTTTTTAAAGAAAAGCCCTTTATAAAGCTTTTCATTTCTCTATACTGTACCTACTTAACCTGGGAATACTGCATTGTTGTAGACATTTTGTTGCTCATTAAACTACAGAACAGTAGTATTGAATGACCTTGCCAAGATCACACACCAAGTCAATGGTAGTATAATAAGGTGAAACAAGAATGTTTATTTCCAATTTATATCTTTAAACAGTGAAGCTTTATGCCTTGACTAATCTAAGAAAAAAAAAAATCTTAACTGCATCTAATTAATTAGGAACAGTGCACAAAATATTTTCTTTTTTTTTCCTTCTTTTCTTCTATTTTGCTGTTCAGTGTGCTTGTTTGTCTTATCAAGCTGCTAAATATTTAACATTCAAACTGTAATTTTTTTTGAGATAAGGCTGATGTTATTTGTTTATTTATTCCCTTTGGGGTTTTGTGAAGTGTTTCTAGGTCGACTATGATATTAAATAATTTTTTTTTTTCATATGAACATTTGGTAAATCGTAAATTATCAAACACTTAAAATCAAGTTCAGCTATCTTGGTGCAGCATAATTCATTAGGTTAAATACAGGATCATTGGTTACTCTTCTGTGGCTTGGAAAATACTGTGAAAAAGTCCAGATAATCATAATGGTTCTCTGCAATCCTAAACTCTGATGTTACGTGTGTACTTGCATATGACATCTTGTAAGTGAGATCTCATAAGTAAGATCATATGCTCCATCTCTGCATTTCTCTTCCAAACAGAAGCCAAGAGCAGTACATAAGTGGCATGAACAGACCCCAGGGAGGATGTTCTGTTACTCTTAAGCAAATTGCCTTGAGGGAAAACTTTCAAGTTCTATGTAATATTTCTGTTCATTTCATGCTGTTTGTGTTTAAACCTAGGTGATTAAACCTAAAGTTTGATCAAAATCAACGTGGGCTGTGAGCAAAAAGTAGGAAGATCCCCCATTGTTTAAATTTATTAAATTTATTAAATGTCAAATTGCGTACGTGTGTTTAGGTAATTAAGAATGGTGCTAAGTTTCATACACCTTTTGCCTTTTTTTTTTTTTAATTTCTAAGTACACCTTGCAGAAAGTCATTAATCAGTCTGAAGAATGGAAGAACCATTAATGTTTCAGGGCTGCACCATTTCTTAAGGCTTTTTATTTAATAGTATATTTAATATGTATGGTTACAGAAAACTTGACAGAATTTCTGATTAAGTTAGATGAATAAAATGAGAAACAGACCCATGCCAATTCCAGCATAGGCTGTCATTTTAACTCTGTCTTGACTCCTAGTCATGTCCTGCCTTTTCCAGGTGGAGAAGATTCCACTTTTGACTGTTAGAAAGTAACTGAGCACCCTTCTTTGAAACTTGGGCTGCGTTTTCTTAGACTTATACACTAAGCCTTGGAAGGCAAACTGATAAATGTCAAGATGTTGCTACTCAGATAAGATAAAGGGGGCGGAATGCAGTAGATCTGATGTCTCTGTCGGATGTCAAACCACTTTTATTATCATTGTAAATTATTTCCAAGGAAGATTGTTCCATATGTCCTAATACAAAGTTAGCAGAAATAAAGCTTAAAAAAAATGGGAGATTTAACAAACTCGTTTTCTCTATTGATATGTGTTGCAAATAAAGTTTTGATTTATTTTCAGTAAAGAAGGAAAATTAATGTTAGTAGGAAATTCAGTAATAGTCTTTGCTGCTAATGTGCCCTGTTTGATTAAGTGCCTGACATTATCACATCATGTATGTTGAATTAGTGTAGGCCACTCAGAAAATTCAGAAAGTATAATTTGTTTCTGCGTCGTTAACCCCCACCTTGCCCATCTTATGCTTTTTATTATAATCAGTTAGTTAAAATGCTAAAAATAATATACTAATATCATCAATAGAGTTCAAGAAATGTATAATTTCTGAAAGAATTGTTGCTTGTCATCCTTTGTCTACTTATTAAGACAAGCTACATGAATTCATGTCATATCATCTTCATGCCATCCAATGCCTATTATTTCTTGCTTTCTTTCTTAAAAGAGGCTTTTTTTTTTTCCCCACTTTCTAATATCTCTGTGTTACTAGTCTCGATATGGAGGTTGTTTTAGTTAAATCTTAATGATATCGAGGTGTCCTCTTTTAATCCTGAAGTTTTACAGTAGGCTACTGGGGTGAGGGGGAAGTGGAGTTCATTGACTTCTACTGGAAAAATCAAACCCTTGATTCAACTAGCAGTGAATTAACCTCTCTAACAGGGTGATTTCAAGGAAATATACATAAAGATCTTGGAACAGTATTGATATATACTGAACGCTCTTAATACAGTAAGCTTCATTAAACACTTTATATCTCTATGACTTTGAATATTTTTTTTCCCTGAAGTAAGTTTACATTTTTTCAGTTGACAGGCAAAAATAATTTCATTTGTTTGTTACAATTAAATCACATTTAAAGAGAAGCATTAATAATTTTAATAATCAGTTGTCATTTTGTTTACTACAGAAAAAGACTGAGAGAAACACAAGAATATTTTCTTATGTATGTGAATTAGAAGAATTGATGAAACACAGAAATACTAGGACAAATTCTGTTATGGATTTTGAAGACTATTTAAATAAGCTAATATCAACTTCTGTGCTGCACGTGAAATAACATTAAATACTGCTATGGAATGTAATATATTTTCTAGCATATGTTAATTTGAAATGTGTGTAATATGACCCTTAGTAAGAATGTTACCCATTTTTTATGTGACTGAGATTATTGTGATATTTTTTATTTAATCATTTGTGCCCTTGGCTTCATTTCAGGAGGTAAAAAGGGAGCACCCCAGAGAATGCTGGGTTGTTCCCTCAGCTGCTTACACTGTGCTAATGAGGTGTCTTCGGGAAGGGGTAAGGCTCTTTCATTGTCCTCAATAGAATTTCTCCACTGTAATAACCCTTTAGGCATTGTGTGAGGATTGTAGCCTGGAGCACTGCAGTACCTTGTCAACCAAGTATTGCTCTTGAATTTAAATAATAATGATATAGACCATGACCTAAGCAGAAGATTAATGCAAAAATGCAGTGTTGGTCTCTGGACATTCAACATTTATGTATTGCTGCTTGTTTTTTGGAAATGGGATAGTAAATATAAATTACTCTTAATAAATGTGGAATTTATTAATGCTGTTACTTTCTTTTGAGAAATATTCTGACAGTTTGTACTGTCCTCTTGCAGTCTGATTTTCTTACGTCTTTCATAAATCTTTGAACAGGATTTACTTTCTGTTTTGAAGTGACAGATACACAGTTTTTGAAAACTGTATTGTTATTGTAAGTGGTTGTTGGCATTTTTTTGAGGCCAAAAAGTAGTAATTAGTTTTATTCTCATACATGTGCTATGCTGTGTTCTTCATTTTTCTTGGTGATGACTTAGCTGGGTTAAAAGGGAAGAAAAACAGCACATAGTTTAATTTGTAAAATGAAAAAGAACTGAGTAGAGGGTTGGCATTTACTGTTTATATGAGACCAATTGACTTTATTTTTGCCCAAGGCAAAGCTCAAGGCAGAAAACATGTCGGAGGTTGCTGGAGGGGGGAAAGCAAGAGAAATACCTTTTTTTCTTCAGTTTTTGAGATCTTTATTGCCTACAGATTGTGATTAATAGAGGAAGACTCTAGATGCATTTTAACATCTTCAGGTGATCAAGAATGCACAACTGGTTTTATTGTGAACTATTTCCAGCTCATAATTGGAGTAAGATTACTCCAATTACGTCCTAAGGCACGTTAGTGAGAAGCTATTTAATTATAAGCTTAATAATGGAATATTTGCTATTTCTGAATATTCAGTGGAGCAGAAGATTGGGAAAGTCTTTTGTCTGTAGGGGATCACAAGTTGAGATTTCCTGCACTTCCATGTTGTTAACTTAAGATAGAAGTTGATTTTCAACTCAGGCAAAGAACAGGCATGTTGAATGATGTCTCAAAATGAGGAAATTGGTACACTCATAAATAAGTAAGTGATAAGCCCAATTTCATGTGTAGTAGTGGTATAATGTTGCAGTCTGTCAGAACCTTTGTAATAAATATTCCAGTATTTATTTACTAATCTTTTCTAACAACCGTTTCCAACAGTGACAGAAAATACTTGTTCCAGGAATCTATATTTGTGTCTAAGTTCAACCTTGAAATATTTGTGTGCAGTCTCTAAGAAAGCAGGGTCCTGATTTCTGCCACTGAAGTGTTTAGTTCTTACAGTTCCTGTGTTATGCAGTCATGAAAGATACTTTCTGATTCAGAAAGGATATTCTTATTTAATATTAAGTATCTAATGCTAATGTGACTACCCTTTTCCCTTCATCCATTTTACTTAGTTTATTAAAAACTCCTCTGCTAAAGTTGCCCTTATCTACTTCACCTCAGACTTATAATCCTATCTCTTATTTGAATCATCTCGTTGACTCTGCATATATTTTTTTTTTCTTTTCGTTATCTGATTTAAGGTTCAACCTAATCTTAACTAAGTGAAATCTCAGCTTTAGTTTCTGATTTACATGTGTCCCTCTCCACACTTATGTTCTAGTCAATCCTCTCACCTTTCTTCTTTCACTGTTTTCTCCCTTACGTTTGCCCCACCTTCCTTCAGATCTTCCTTTGTTTTCTGATAGTCATCTTAGAACTAATAATCTTTCCCATATTCGAACTACTTTTTGATCTCTCTTATAATTTTTCTTGTCTAATTTGGTCTGGATTATGTTGTTTTGAGGAGGTCCTTCACTGAAACTAGACAGCAAGTCAGAAACTGCGTGCAAGCCTCCTTTTAAGTTTTCCTTTGTGAAAACAACGAGGAACCACTGAAAAAGCTTTCAAGAGCTTGGTATCTGTCCATTTCTGCTTACAAATGACATGTAAATATAAGGTACACAATTGTATACAGTAGTAATAACTTCATAGAACCTGGAGAAAAAAAATAGGCAATAGACTTGCATGGATAAATTTAATCTATACAGCTATAGCTAATTAGCTGTATCTGACTTTTAGAATGTGCATAATCCTCTGATTTTTATAGCGTGACACCTGGGGAAAGTATTTGAATCAGAAATAGTGAATGAGGTTACAAGGGATAATTTTCTGTCTCTTGAATGTGCGAGGTACTGTGTAAGCAAGATTTTTAATAATTTAGAGCATGCCTGTAAGCTATATAGTACACATTTCCCTCTACCATATGAACCTCTTCCTTTATGAAGGAGCAAGATAAGTCTGAGGGTTTTGGTTCTGAACTGATAAGGAATTTTAATAATAAAAGGTAACTTTGAAAAATAATTGTCAATATTTAACATAAGGCAATATGTTTTATAATGTATATTCTTAGCCAGAGCCGTTCCTTTACAATGAGTTTGGAGGAGAAAGGAAAACTTGAAGGAGAATAAAATCATAACTGTTTTTTCAGAAAGTATAGGACAGCCTATAGTATAAAAGTGGTAGTCTGAATCATGTACATTCTCCCTTTTATTTTTTCTTTAGGTATCAATTTTCTAGTTTACTGACAGAATTGCCTATAGTATAAAAGTGATAGTCTGAATCATACACATTACCACTTCAATTTCTTCTTTAGAGATCAGTTCTTTACTGACAGAATTGCATATACCATAAAAGTAATGGTCTGAATCGTATACATTATGACTTTAATTTCTTCTTTAGATATAAATTCTCTAGTTTACTGACAGAATTTTTAATTTTTTTTCCACAAAACCTATTTAAAATTTTTATTTCTACATGTTCCTTCTTCTCTATGAAGGCTTTATATTGCAATTGTTGCAAATTAAGATTGAATTCCTATAATCTTGAATGTTTGGGATGATACAGCTTTACTTCGTGAAGTTTCTTTTTACTTTGTCCTTTTAGTTTAAAGGAAGAAGTGTATGGAAGTTGATTTAGAATAATGATGGAATACAGTGTTACTTCCTGAATCTTTCAGGTTTTCCAGTGTTTCTTTATCAGTATTATACTTTTACTCAGGTGTATGTATCTATACCCAGTATAAAATATTTTATCTTAACCTTTAAATGAAATTATGCTATTTTTAGGTAGCATGTTGGTTAGCATCATGACCGTATCGACAGTGCCTCCAAAACCTCTAGTGCACTAAGTTTTCAACAATCAATAAAAATATCCAGTAGATTCAGTTATTTCAAAAAATGAAGGTAGATTCTTTGACTTTGATTTTGTGTTTTTTTTTTTTTTTCCACAATTGAAATAGAAAGACTTGATTAAAAGAAGTTTTCGTTTAGCAGTTTACACATATTTACCCTTTTGGTATTTGCGTTCTCAGTCAGGGCTCGTTTTCACTAAGGATCCGTAACTTTAACTGGGAACAGATACATCTGCAAGTGTTCAACATGACTGAAAATTAGGAGCTTTAAGTGCGTTTTATAAAGCTAGTTGAAATCTAAACCCAGTGAAAGTAGAGTACATGCTTCTTTTTGGTTCAGTTCAATTCATAGATTTAGATTTGATGCAGTTCACGATATGGACAGAGGTTAACTGTTATATGGAAATGCTTTACTCATATCTTGATCCATTTCTGTTCACTAACAAAGCTTATGTCCTGGTAACATGACAGGATGACTCCATTAGTTAAGGGGCCAAATATTAGTTCAGGTCAGGTTTCGCTTCCAGAGAGTTAATTAAGCAGAAAATGGTACAAGACGTATTTTTTTAGACAGTGCTCAAGAATAGATCCCAGAGGATCTGAGGTGGACAATCTCAGGTGGCAGTAAATGGAATTACTCTGACAGCCTCATTGAGTTTTTAGAGCACTGTGACAATACATGACTTTTTCTAGCCAAAGTACCAGGACTGTCTGGCACAGGGCATAACTCATCTCAGTGATGGCTGAAAGGAAATAAAGCACATCTTCAGGACCAAATTTTGTGAAGAAAAGCTATAATTGCATCTGGAAATTTGTTAACACTCATAGTAGCTATTATCTGCCATATAATGCTTTGATAATGATTTATTAATGGGATTATAGTGTATTTATCAAGTGTTTCTGCCTGCTTCAAGTAGCAGTGGAGTCCCAATTGGCGTTCCTAGTAATCAATTCATATAAGAGTGATATAACTTGACTATTAGTGCTTCAATTAAGGATTCAATTTTAAACTTATATAGTCAGTTTGATAAATCCATGCATTTTTACCTTAACAGTACCAAAAAAAAAAAAAAAAGACTGAAATTCAGAAGTGTAATTCACAGGAAAAGATTGAAAATTAACATTATTTATAAAAAGTTTTGAGAAACTCAATTTTGTTAAACATGTATGTGTATTCTTGAATTTAAGTCTCCAATAGGTCAAAATTATACAATATATTGCAGTAATAAGATCTGTAAAACCAGAGAAGCCTAAATCCTCTTTGGTTTCATGGCTGTAAATCAGAAGGAAGACCACAGAAATCAGTAGAGTTTTATAAAAGAGTGTAGCTGGTTGGGAATTGGTTTTGGTATTTGTTTTAAGTGTTTTGAGTAGAGCTGCGGTTCTGTGGGAGAACAGAAAGAATTAGCATGAAAATAATACAGCTTTTTTTTTTTTTTAACAGCATAATGCTAGAGTTTCCAAATATTTCTACATCAGTGTCTATATTTTAGAATACCTAGGTCAGTAGAAGGAAGAGTGGATATTAAATATATTTTTAATGAAGTATAAGTGTTCCCCTTCTGGAAGGCTTTTATACTACTTTCTGAATGGTTTCATTATCATTGCTCACAGTTGTTAGTGGTTCTGATTGTGAAGATAAATGTCAGAAATCCAAAGGTTAGTAGGATAATGTGGAGATTAGTTTAAGAAAGAAATCAATTAGATATTATGATGAATTATTTGTGAAGTCAGGCTATGAGGTAGACTTGACAAATTAAATTGGTTGTCCTTCTTATATTAAAATTCACTCTTGCTGAACTCAAGAATGCCATTTAAGACATTGTTGGAAGACTTCACTTATTCGTAGTTAAAGATTGAGATAAGGTGAGGCAATGCACAGCTGAAAAACCACCAGCAATGAATCTTCCAGTTCTGTTAATGTAAAAATTCTGCTTTTAAGTCAAAGAAACATAAAAAAAAAAACAAAACAAAACAGAAGAGGATAAAGAAAGGAGGTGAGGGGGAGAAGAGTGAAAGAGAAAGTAGAGACTCTGCTTTTAAGTGACCTATATTAAGCTAAGCTTCCTCTGGAGTCAGTAATAGTTTTCTTGAGAAAGAACTGCTGCCATATGATGTTCATGACGTGCTGATGGCTCATGATTGTTCTGACACGACATTTTTTTATTCCCTGGAGACATTGGAATAAATACTACTAAGTCTGTAGTATGAACAGTGTTATGTAAGTAATAAAGCCACATGTACAGTGGCTTTCCACAAATGATGTTGCAGATAAAATTATTTTATTAGTATTAAAAATATGACAGATTCAGAATCCTTTACAGAAATTTAGGAGTTTATATAGTACATGAGACCTAATGGTTTGTCTTAAACATTGGTCAGGATTGTCTGTTTCAGAAGAGGAAGAGAATGGAGTTATGAAATAACCTGACTTGCAAGAAGGCTTCTTCTTTATCCCAGGGGATTGTTGGTTCTTCTGAATAGAAAGGTTTTAATGTAACTAATTTTATTTTTCCTAATGTAACTGCATATCTCATAATCTTGCTCTTCAGAGCCTGTTGTAGTGATGAATTTTGATAGACAGACATTCATTCATAAAGCATTTATCATGGAACACCTCTAACACAATGAAAGCTTTTCATTTTTTAGTGACTACATTTAATTAGGGGTGATCATTTAGAGCTGAAAGATTTTTGTATTAAATTATATTTGTATTAAATTGTACTTGCAGTAGAAGAGAAAGAGGGGGAAATAGGATCTGTAAACATAATTATCACAAGTTGAGGTTTCCTATGAAATTACTCTGGCAAGTATCAAAATTAAGAAACCACACTAAGACAACATACACGGAATAAAACATGGACGTAGGCAGTAGTTTATAAAGAAATTGGAAACAGTAGAACCATTTGAATATGAGTTTTCCTTTCCTCTCCTTCCTATAGGAAGACCGGGTAGTCAACCATTTGGCAGCAAAGATCATTGAAAATGTTTGCACTACTCTCTCTTGCCATGCGCAAGGATTTATTACAGCAGAAATTGGACCTGTCTTGTGGTACCTTTTCACACATTCTACAGTAGATTCTTTGAAGATAACTGCTGTTTCGGTAAGGAATTTCCTTTTGTGATATAGAAATGTTTTGGGTTTTATTTCGAAAAGCATTCTGAATTGAAACAGAATTGGTTTTGATTATGGTTTCTGTATGTATTTGTATTTATATTTCAGATTACATTAAAATATATTTACAAATTTTTTGAAATTGAAAAGTGAACGTATTACAGTCCAGTGCTTGTGAAAAGTCCTTGTGATTCATCATTTTCTAGAATGTTTTCTTATGCTGCTGATCATGAGTTATGTTTGAGAAGCTTGATCTTTCAAAGAATCAATTAAATTCTTGCAAAATTGAAATTTCTTTTTTGTACGATGTTTTACTTTAGAAGCATTTATTCTTTTTATCTCAAGACATATCTCAAATATGTCTTCTTGCTTAGAAGACATATTTGAAATCATAATGTTACTTTCTATAAAATTATCAGGGCCAGTCTTTGTCCTGAATTTTTAAGATAATATAGGATGATAATAAGCCAAACAGAGCTATGTCCTGTAAGAAACAGGTTTGAGACAAAAAGATTTGTGAAGTAGAAAATACTTAGCAGGGCTGTGAAATTAACATATGTCTTGTTGACAAAACAGAAGCCTTACCCACCCATACAGGTAATATGTTAGAGCTGAAAAATAAGTTGACTTATTTTAAATGAAGTGTGGTAACTGGATGCTCATTTCCTGAGTAGACCTCAGGCTCACTAATGAGTTTACTGTTGGCTTCCCAGATGGAAAATGGTAATGTTGCTGCTGAAGCAGTGTGCACTTAGAGACATCTAGCATTGAGGTAATAAAAGAGAGAGAAGTACAAATATAACAGGGTTACAGCATTGGTGGATAAGGGAAGAGCAACTGACATTATCTGCCTGGACTTGTCCAAAGCATTTGACACTGTCTGGCACAACATCCTTGTCTCTAAATTGGAGAGACATAGATTTGGGTGATGGACCACTCAGTGGATAAGGAATTGGCTGGATGGTCGCACTCAAAGAGTTGCGGTCAATGGCTTGATGTCCAAGTGGAGACCAGTGACGAGTGGCGTTCCTCAGGGGTCATTTTTGGGGCTGTTTAACATCTTTGTTGGTGACGTGGACAGTGGGATTGAGTGCACCCTCAGCAAGTTTGCTGATGACACCAAGCTGTGTGATGTGGTTGACATGCTGGAGGGAAGGGATGCCATCCAGAGAGACCTTGACAGACTGGAAAGGTGGGCCTGTGAGAACCTAATGAAGTTCAACAAGGCCAAGTGCAAGTTCCTGCCAATGGCTTGGGGCAATCCCAAGCACAAACACAGGCCAAGTGGAGAATAGATTGAGAGCAGCCCTGAGGAGAGAAGGATGGAGGTGTTGGCTGATGAGAAGCTCAACATGAGCTGGCAATGTGCACTGGCAGCCCAGAAAGCCAACTGTATCCTGGGCTGTATCAAAAGAAGTGTGGCCAGCAGGTCGAGGGAGGTGATTCTGCCCCTCTTCCTGTTCTTGTGAGACCCCACCTGGAATACTGTGTTCAGCTCTGGGACCCCCAACATAAGGACATGGAGCTGTTGGAGTGAGTCCAGAGGAGGGCCGCAAAGATGATCAGAGGGCTGGAGCACCTCTCCTATGAAGACAGACTGAGGTAGTTGGGGTTGTTCAGCCTGCAGAAAACTCCAGGGAGACCTTCAGCAGCTTTCCAGCACTTAAAGGGGGCCTACAAGAAAGCTGGAGAGGGACTTTTTATGAGGGTGTGTAGTGATAAGACAAGGGGTAATGGCTTTAAACTGAAAGAAGGCAGATTTACATTAAATACAAGGAAAAAAATTTTACAGTGAGGATGATGAAGCACTGGAACAGATTGCTTAGAGAAGTTATGGATGCCCCATCCTTGGAAGTGTTCAAGGCCAGGTTGGATGAGGCTTTGAGCAACCTGATATAGTGGAAGGTGTCTCTGCCCATGACAGGGGAGTTGAAACTAAATGATCTTTGAGGTCTCTTCCAGACGAAACCATTCTATGGTTCTATATCTGAAGTGTGGCTGAAGAGAAAATTGCTGAATAAATTTATAATTTTTAAAAAATATGTGTATTTATTAAACATTTATCTAAGTGTGTATTTGTGGCAAAGTCTTGCTTGGAAAATAAAGTGCTCAAATACTGGGAAAATGTGTTGACCTTTTAGAACAGTAAACTTATTTAGTTAAATACATGTTACAGAAGCCTTTGTTCTGTAGCACCTGAAATTCATTGTAAAAACTTGGTCATAGAACTTTTATGGGTAGAGAATTGTCATTCTTGGAAAATGTAAAATATATGTGTAACCTTTGTGCAGAGCATATATAGCTTAAGCCTGCTTGTGAGTCTGCTGCTAGGCTGCTTTTTCAGAAAGGCTCTTTTTGAGACTTTACCCATTTGGTCTGAGAATTTTATGCTTAAATTGTGACTGTATATATGGTATAAAACTGGAGATTAGAGTTACGATTTCCTTTGCTCATTGAGTATTTAACAAGTCTGTTCCATCTTCTCTCCTACCACTACTTTTACCGTAAAGGATGTTTTGTATCTTGTGCTTTCAGTTCTTGCCAATCATTAGATTGAGCAGTTGTTATTTTTTTGCTACTAGATCATAGCTCTCTATTTTTATCTCTTTTAACTTGTCCTGAAGTTTTCCTTCTGTTCCTCTGCTGTCCACTTGGAGAACTTCGCTTCAGCATCTACCATTCCCTTGACTCCTACACCAGACTTCCAGAGCTCTTCCACTTGTTGTTGGACGGTTATGCCTGTTTCGTGTGCCACAGTAAGCAGCATATCCCAGAGAAACAGTCTACCTGAAGTACATTCTGACACTGAGCAAGGAAAGATCATCAGCGGAAATATGAGTAGATCAGTAGGCTTTTTTTTTTTCCTGCTCCTTTTTTTACTCTCTTGGAAAGTCAGTTTCTTCTTGGACAATATAGTATGCTTGAGGTAGGCAAGAGCTTTTTTTCTGCTCAGTAAGATGCAGAAGTTATAGTTCTGATTCTCAAGAGCACGCTTGTCATCAGCGCAAACTCACTACAGCTCTTTTTTGGCAGTGGACTCAGAGGTCAATATCTTCAGTACCATATGGTTTGCACACTTTGCCCTTAGGTGAGGTTTCTAGTGACTATGAGAAGACAGAGTTGTTTGTGCCTCTCTATCCTCAGCCTCTTTTGAGATCCCAGATCATTTGATCCTCCCGAGGCTATAAGGTTGAGGTGAACCACTGAGAAATCTTTTCTTTGTCGTAGTATTTACGCTATGGGTAGTGAGCCTCTCTAAAGCACTACTGGAGATGCCTTTTTTCCACAGCGTCTGATGAGAAGAAAATCTTTATGCAGCATCTTACCTGGAAGGTAGGAAAGAATGTTTAAGACGAAGCTAAAACCTGAAAAACTTCTGGTAGCCAAGTTTATTCCTCTTCCTTTTTTCCCCCTCTTTCTTTTTTCTTCTTTTTCTTTTTTCTTTTCCCCCTTTTTCTTCTTTTTTTCCCTTTGCCCCATTTTTTTCCCTTTTTTTTACCAAGCAGTGTGTTTTGGGAGGTCATGATAGCTGGAATTACCAGTATTCCCTAGAGAAACTCAGCTGATTGTGGGACATCCTTTCAATGGCAGTTGTCAATCTAATTAAGAAAGATGCCTTTTAATAATTCTATTACCTTTTCTCTGTCAAAGTTCCTTAGCAGTGCAAGCTTTAGTGTCAAGGCCAGTGTTCTCAAGAGATGACCAAGTTGTGTGTGCATACTGAGTTCCACTGAGGCAAAAACGTCTTTAACATCTTGTGCAAATCTGTGGAATAAATGTACATATGGACAATATAAACAAAAAACCCAATCAGTTCCCAACTAACGTTTTTTCCTGTTAAGGCAGTAGGCTTACTGGAGATCATACCTTTCCCTTGGGTAGTTACTGAGGTTTTAGTCAAGCTGGAGGTAGGGCTTTTTCCAAACTAACGTATTCCACAGCTTTTAGTGAAAGCAGCAGTGGGGGGGACTGCAAGAGTAAGAGACATTAACTCTTCTACATCCTTGGTCCAACTACTTTGTTTCTTGTTTTTCTGGTCTTCATGGAAATTATTGCTATCCATGTAGCCGATTCCATGTCCTTCTTCCAGACAGATCATTTCACACAAGTGTGTGTGAGTCTGAATGTGTTCCTGGATTTTCCCCACCACTGTTTTGAGGATTGTGTCCTTTATCAAAAATCAGAGGTTTAATTATTTTATACCGCATATGAAGTGAATTGGACAAGGAAGCTTCTGAAGTAGTATACACTAAGGTGATACTCTAATCCTTTAGCTGATTTGTTGTGAAACACTAAAGTAACAAGAGGATGAACTTATTTGTTGGATTTATTTCTCAATACCTGATATAAATCATGGTTATGTATTAATACTGCTGGAGTATTTGGGTATATAATCTTAACTTTAGAAAAAAAATAACAATCAATATTGAAATCTAGCCTAGGCAGATCTTCTACCAGCTGAAGTTTATAGAGATTTTAGTTACAAACTTATTTTTAAAGTCAAATAGTAGTGTGTTCTCCAGCTATACTGCACTGTACAATTTCTACATTCATTAAATTGTTGCTATAGATATGTAGGCATTTTTATTCTGCGTGACCACATAAATTGAGATCATCAGTGTCCTATTGTATTTTATTATGCAGTCATTCCTGCCTTGTTTGAATCTATCCTGAAGAATTTAGTCTTGACTAACATCTATATTCATGTGTAAAAATACATTTCCATTTAGAAGTACGTGTGTCATATCTTTACCTAGAGCTAGCAGGCTGTCTGCAAAGTATATCAGCAGTAAGACACTATGGAATTTTACTGATCATTATTTCAATCAACAATAAAAATATATCAAGAATATTCTCTGTCTTCAGTCTCTGGAGTCAGGAAATGTCACTTTACCTTGTCCTGCCTGTCAAAGGTGGCAAACGGGGACTGTGTCTCAGTATTTTTGCTCACTTTGGAGTCCAACATGCCTCAGGTAAATATCACAGATTTTGCCTGTAGGAAAGCTATATCTTTTTATCATTTTGCTAGACTCGGAGAAGAAATAATTCTGTAAGATGTCAAAGTGATGCTCTGACAAGCTCAGCAGCAGGAAGAATATTTTCTTTCCAGAATACTGAAAATTTAAAAAAAAAAAAACCACAAACAATTTTTATTTTCTTTTTAAGAGGCGGCTTTTTCTTCTGGAGGAGAAATAACAAAACATAAGCCTCTTCAGTGGAAACAAATTTGGGAAAGCTCAACACAATCTTTTGTGGGTTTGTTTTTGGCTTGGTTTTGTTTTTTCTTAAATAATTGGTGCTGAATGGTTTATTTCAGAGAGTTGGGTGTTGCAGATACATTAACGCATACATTCTCAAACTTGAGAGAGTCATAGAGTACATCCTGAAAGGGTAAATGCTACCTAGCCACTGTGTAGCATGTAAGACCAGAAGGTGATGAATAGAGCATAGATGAGCATAGAATCATAGAATTTCTCAAGTTGGAGGGGACCAATGAGGATCATGACGCTAGGATTGGAGCTTCTGGGAGAAAAGGTGCTGGTTAAGGCTGTGCAGAGAGCAAGGACAGAGAAGCCCATTCCAGGAGAGGCTCTGCCAATGCCTTACCTTCACTGTGATCATTTTCTGTTCCAAGACTGCTGCTGCAAGAGGGTGGTGTGAACTCTATTCTTACCTCTTCTCATCATTGGTTCTGCTCCACCACCTTGTGACCTATCTCCATCTGTTCTCTCCAGATAACTGGATCTACTGAAGTGATTTAGAATACTTTGTCTTCTATTGCCCATTCAACTCTCTTTTCTTCTTTTCTGCGGAAGTGTTGGTTTCACTCATACAGCAGAGCACTCTGTGACATACAAGCTAATGGGAGTTTAAAGCTTCTCCCCTTGGCTGTTGGTGGGCTGGAGCTTTTCTGATACCTCCAAAGCTGCAGCATGATCCTAGAAGACAGCAGTGTCTTTCCTACCAGATTTGCCTGGAGGTCATCTGATGGCCTGTGGCTACGGTCACCCTTGTTTGACAAGGTCTGTAGCAGAGCTAAGGCATTGGCAACTCAGCATACACCACATTAGCACACCTAGATAGCTCCGTGTTTCTTTGACACAGTCTGTCCCTAGGTCCCAGTATTTCAGTGGTGATATGACCCTCGAGGAATTCCGTGATTCCATGTTTAGTCAATGTGCATACCTCCTGCCCACTCATTCTGAGAACTCAGACTAGAGGTGAAGGGGGAAATAGACCATGCTGTACTAAGAAACTGAGATTGAGTGTCTGTGTTTTAAAACAGGGAGGGGAGAAGAAAAATAAAAGGCTGCAATCAATATGGTTCCTGGACCAGAAAACAAAAGGAAGAACAGGAGCTGAGTAGATGAACAGTGTCAATAACATGTCTGTTTAAAAATCAGAAGTTCTTGATTTACTGCTTTTTATGCCTTCCTTTCTCTCTCTCTCTTTTTTTTGTTTTTTTTTTTTTTTTAGTGCATTTTGAGTAATATTTCTAAGGGCACTGGCGAACTGGGCTGTTTCTGAGGTTCTTACATGGAAAGCTTTTCTCTGATGATAGTATTCTGTGGGTGTAATTGACTGTAGTTTCTCTTAAATGAGACCTCACTATTGAATGCACCCTGAGTAAGCAGCAATTTCTAAATATAGCTGATCTGAAAAGAACAAAGAAGTGGTAATATTCTTCTACTTTTTGCCAAAGAAAGTAATCTTCAAAATTTTTCCTCAAAACCAATTCAGATTTTCATGTGAATCAAATAATTGACATAATCTGTTTTCCTATGCTAACACTACACTCGAGCCAAAGAAAATGAAATTTTAAATGTCTAAAGAGTCGTATTTTCTTTATCTGGAGAGAACAAAATCAGTTACAGTATCTTGAAGGTTGCATTTTCAGAGGTATCAAAAGTAAAAGCTGTGTTGACTTGGAGATGAATTGACCTTGGAGGTCATTTGGTGATATTTGTTATGAAATAGCCAAGTTTGCATACAGTGAACAAATTTATGCTCACCTCGCTAAAGTAGAGTCAGTATCTGCATTTGCTGTTAGAATTGGTTTTTCACTGGTATTTGTAAATCAACCATTTGGAGAATAGTTTGCACGTTTCCTATACTAAACATTGTTTCTTGACAAATACCTAGATCTAAAGTAGTATCTAGATGTAAAGACAGACTTTAGATAGTGAACTACTGCATAACAGATTATGGTCCATGAGCAGAGGGAAGAAAGATGCCCACCTTTACGGGTGACCAGAATTTCTGTGATGTGTGCCATCTCTGTATTTTTGGCAGCCTGTGCTCCTTACTAGCACAGCGTTATCTGATGCTTCCTACGTTCTATGCTGATAGACTCAAGCATGGACTATGCTGCTCCATCATTATTGTTCTCTAGAAGGAGTAATGTGACTCTGATGTTCTTGATGTACCAAATGTTTCCATTTCAGCTGCATGGAGTGCATAGCAATACATTTAGAAGAATTCTAGGTCTCTGAAAATATGTAGCGTTTTCCCCTAGTGTTTGTCTTATGTATGAAACAATGAATTCTCTATATTCCTAACTATTGGAAAAATCACCACCTGTTTTTATTCTCCTTTATTTTTCTTGAGATAATAATCCCATTAAATAACAATGGGGTTTTTTTTCACTTTTGTAGGCTTTATGCAGAATTACTCGTTGCTCACCCAGTGCTTTCCAGAGTGTTATTGAAAAAGTGGGATTAACAGCTGTACTAAATTCCCTGGCAAATGGAATATGCAAAATTCAGCAGTATATGCTCACCATGTTTTCGGCAATGTTGTCATGTGGGATACATCTACAGAGACTGATACAAGAGAAGGTTTGATTTCAGATTAATATTATTCACTAGCATGGAATTTCACTAATGGAAAGTTAAAGTTGGCTCTGGTAGTGTTTTTGTGCATTCAAAATGCTTAACTCTGTGACACTTATGTATCTGAATAGCAGAAAACAAGGAATGTGTTTATTTTATGTTTTTATTTGCTTAAAATCTAAATAACAGGGTGTATAGATTTTCTTTCACCTCTTCAAGAGCTGGTACTGATGATTGTGTAAATTGCTACTGCAGCTAGAATTCAGTCAATTCAGAAAACTCTGGCTTAACTATACCTGATAATGGCCTTAAGGAAGCACAGTAAGGAATGCATGAAGACAGCTGTTTGACAGTGCTCTCTTAGGCATTTAAAAGTGAAAGCAATGACTGTCCTGATTGAATCTAAAGCTGTACTTTATGCTATCCTTAAAGAACTTTAGGCCAATTTGTAAGTGAAATGTCCTACAGAAATTAACATTTTATTAACTTAGGGTTTTCTTTTTAGTGTCACTGAATAAAACTACCGGTTCTGATTTATGTCTAATACAATTTTTCAGAGAGATGATTAAAAGCTTTCTATTTTGATCAACAAATTATTCCGTGTTTAGAGAAATAGTGTTTATTTTTTCAGCAGTAGGTTTGCACAATTCATAAACAAAAGTAATCCCCTTCTGCTTGGAAAGGATAAAAATCATGAAAATAGGAACTCTAGCTTGTATTTTTATTAGATACTCTGTTGTAATGTATGCTGTAACCTGACAATTGTCTTGACTATAATGATCTATTAGGCTTTAGTTGAGAGGGATTAATTTAGTTTCTATAGACATTGTTTTTAAAACAATGTTTTAATTAGAGAATAATCTACTCTTTTCCACCCATCTCTTCCTGCAGCCTGAAATCACTAATTCTCTTCCTAAAAGTAATTTCTGTGCCTTGTCAGAATTGCCAGTGTGTTTTTGTAAATGCGTGTCAGGTGGCCTTAAGCTAATTCCACTACAGCAGCACTGACAAGTGGCAAATTGTCCTGTAATGTCCCGTTTTCTAATAGTGCACATTACTGTGAGTTAGTGGTATAGTCAGAGAAGTACGTTCAAAAAATATTCACTTGAACATTCAGTGAAAGAATGCAATGTGTAATAAGCATATGGCTACGGCATGATGTTTTCTGTGAAGAATTTCTTGTTTATCTAGGACTTATGTTGCTAAAAGGACTCCATTTCTGATACTGCGGTTCTTATGAACTGTTTTAATCAAATCTTTGACATTATAAAAATAATCAAATCTGAATTCTCCAACTAGTTATAGGAAAATAGAAAGTATTTTGTTGGCATGCAGTACAGCAATGGCTGAAACTTCGTGGATTCAAAATTGCTACTTAATCATTAATGAATTGTCATAGGTGTTTTGTGAGCAAGCGTTGCAATTTTGCAGATTAGAAAATTGAAATATAGACATTCTTTTAACAGCATAAATCAAACTAATGGTAGAAGTGGGAATAGTACCCAAAGCTGTAACTGAGAAAACATTTACTTTAAAAACTGGTAAAGAGGATCCAGTTCTACTGCATGTGCCCACATTTGGTAACTATCTGCCTTAAAGCTGAGATAAATCTATATCCCATAAAATATCTATTTTACTCAAATCAGATTGTAGAATTTTGGAAGCAGAAACTAGATTTCTGTTTTTCTCAAATAGGATCTAAAAATATAATCTGACTCCTGAATTGAACTGCCAGGTACTATCACATTACATAGAGTAATAATATTTTATTGCTGAGAACTGAATTTAATAATCCATCCACTTTTCAATATTCCGTGAGTGTGACACACAAGTCCACCATAATGAAAGAAGAGAAAAGAAAAAAACAAGTGGGTAGTGTTGGCCCACAAAGTATTTTGTTTTCTGTGGAGTTCTTGTATACTACAGCTTTAAGAGGCAGAAGGACCTCAGCGTTACACAGAAGGTAGTGACAAGGTTGTTACTAACTTTTTTTATAGCTGCAAACCAATATATTAAAAAATACTAAAAGATCTTAATTCAAGATGGAGATCATTTAGCTTTGTATGTGTTATCTGGAAACTCCCTCAGCTTACAAGATTTGAGGCTGCCATTGTTTTCTACTCCCTGCAAGAACAGTGATAAAACCAGTTACAAACTAAAAGCCAGAAGAAAAAGGAGAAATGCAGTTTGGTGGTCATCTGTGCTAGTATATCTCTTCAGAGAACTACAATAGCTGAAAGGGACTGGTTTTTGTCCTGCTCTGATTTCTATTCTATTTTAGTTTCTTGTCTTGGAAACAACAAAAAGCTGAAATAATGTTTTTAAAATCAAGTGTGGAAAAAGAATGCAAAATCAAAAATTTGTGGTGCACCAGAGCAGTAGATTAAAACAAAATTGCTAATTACTTTCATCTGGCTGTCAAGATTGACCTCTGAATGAGTGAAAACCAGTCATATAACTTTTTGAATGTAGTTAGTTTCTTTCAGAGGTCAGATAATGGGATGGGGTTTTTGTTTGTTTGTTTTCCATAGGATGGTTTGGGTTGGAAGGGACTTAAAGATCATTGAGTTCCAACATCCCTGCCATGGCCAGGGGCACTTGCCCTAAATCAGATTGCTCAAAGCCTCATCCAGTCTGGCCTTGAACACTTCCAGGGATGAGGCATCCACAAATTCTGTGGGCAACCTGTGCCAGTGCTTCACCACCCTCAGAGTAAACAATTTCTTCCTTGTATCTAATGTAAATCTCCCCTCTTTCACTTTAAAGCCATCGCCCCTTGTCCTGTCACTAAACACTCTTGTAAGAAGTCCTTCTCCAGCTTTCCTGTAGGCCCCCTTTAGGTACTGAAAGGCTGCTAGGAGGTCTCCCTGGAACCTTCTCTTCTTCAGGTTGAACAACCTGAACTCTCTCAGCCTGTCTTCATAGAAGAGGTGCTTCAGCCTTCTGATCATCTTCGTGGCCCTCCTCTGGACTCACTCCAACAGCTCTGTGTCCTTCTTGTGTTGGGGACCTCAGAGCTGAAAGCAGTATTCCAGCTGGGGTCTCACAAGAGCAGAGTAGAGGGGCAGAATCACCTCCCTCGACCTGCTGGCCATGCTTCTTTGGATGCAGCCCAGGATACGGTTGGCTTTCTGGGCTGCCAGTGCACATTGCTGGCTCATGTTGAGCTTCTCATCGACCAGCACTCCCAAGTCCTTTTCCTCAGTATTGCTCTCAACCCATTCTCTGCCCAGCCTGTACTTGTGCTTGGGATTGCCCTGACTCATGTCCAGATTTTTTCTCAAGTACTAATAAGTAAAATTATTCAGATAGTTACAGCAATACCTTTCCACAACTGCATTGCTTCCTAGCTTTCCTGCACGATTGGCCATAGTCTCTTTTTATGTCAGTCGTATCCAGTTATGGCAGTGAAAAAAAGCATTATAAATGTGTTATAAACATTGTCTTCATATTTCAGTTACTTTTTTCAATTCTTTGTCTTTTACCTGAATGTTGACAAGTAGCTACAACGGATGTTGATGTTTTTGTCATTGTCAGTATGAATTAATAAAAATATATAAATGTCTTTAACATAATCTTTGTAAATCTTAACTTATAGTATTATGGAGGCATTTGCAATGCATGGAAAGGGAATTTGAAAATACACAACAATGCAACAAATGATAGCTATGGCAACTTCAGTTCTTACATAGTGAAGTAGTGGTCTAACTGTTTTCCCCTTGTATAGCCATTTTGAAAACATCATTACTTTTTGTGATTGTTTTAAACTTCTTTGCAGTGTTACTAAGAGTATCCAATATAAAATCATGATCTTTTTGCAGTCAACAGTGCATTCACTTGCAATGAAAAGTGTCCTTACCCTGCAGAGTCTCCATGGATAGATCAAACAGTTGCAGGGGAGTGAAGAACAATACAACACTGAAACAATTAATAATTAATGTATTAGGTGGTATTTCAGCAGTTTTTGACTTTGCACTTGATGATCCTAAAAGTCTTTTTCAACCTAAATGATTCTGTGATTCTATTATTCTGTATTGAGTTCTGCAAAGAAGTACGTCAGATTTTCTTTGGATAAACTGCTGCTGTTTTTCAGCCCTCAGACCAGACAGAAAAGCAAATTCCAAAATGTCATGTTTATTTCTTAAGCCAGATTATTAGAACATTCCCAGATAAGTCTGATGTAGCTGATTTTAGTTGACAATGTTGTCTTAACTCATGGTGACCCCCACATGTGACGTTGAAATATTCTTGCTTTCCAGAGCATGAGGGCTAAAAATAGTCAGATGTGCTTTGGCTTGTAGTTGTGTCTTTGTCATGGTGTCCCTGTGCTTGGTCTATCAAGTCCATTTATGTCAGCAGACAGTGTTGCATTATATATACTCTTTCAGTCTGAAGCTTTATGGGATTTCTTAATATAAAAACTTTTTTTGTTTGTTTTGAGTAATTTTGTAAAAAACCCTCAAAACCCACAAACCCCCACTTTATTAAAATTTCAACCACTGCTTTTAGTAGGTTGCAATTTAAGAACCTTATCGCTGCAGGTTCATACTGGAGGAGGTACAAGTAATGCTCCACGAGCTGTTGAAGTGTTTAAAGCAGTAAACTTTACACAGTTTATGCTTATTAACCACAAGATTGAGGAACTCTTCTGTTTATGAAGTAAATTACAGAAATACAATAAAACAATTCTAGAGTAATTACTAACAGTTTGTTTTTCTGGGTTTTCTGTAGTTACTGTCTGTGCTGACTGCTTTTGAAGACAGTGTTAAAATGATATCAGAGTAAAATCTGTTGGCTATCTCTTACTCTCCTTCTAGTCTGTAAAGAAGTATAGTTAATTGTTGCAAAGACTATCTCTAATAAATTACATTCACTCTTGTTTTTCAGTTTTATGACAATGGAGTTGCCTTTCAGTTATTCTGTCAGCAAAAGAGGGAATTTGAATAATATTTGGTATATTAAATGTGCATCACAGAGCAGGATTTTACACTTTGTGCACAACACACAGACACACACTATGCACCACTTTATTCTGTGGTGTCACTCCTTTGAGAATCCAGCTCAAATATTTGAAGGTCGCTTTTGTTGATGAGGCCATTTGTGCTGAGAGTCTAATTCTTGGATAGAGCCAATTGACTCAGTTTGTAAATTCTGGCTTAGTTTTTGACTCTGACTTTCTTTTTTTTTTTTAATAGAGATTTGAAGTAGAGTTTTTGTTTTCAGGATGAGGCATTCGATCAAGAACATTCTGATCCAAAAATACCATTGCTGCTGCCAGCAAGGTCATCTTTGAATATGGAGATATTTATTTATTTATTTATTTATTTATTTATTACCAAATAGCACAATTGGTCTTTGTAGAAGAAGAGTACAAATGAGTAGCACAATTTTTTATTCCTCAGAAGTAGAGGATACTCCATATATTTTTTTTCTTTTTAAAATATTTTTCTTTTTTCTCCTTTGGTTCTTCAGGAGTTACAATGTATAGTTGGACAGACTGAAAGTGATCCTTATCTTATGCTTTTTACAACTCATAATACCTAATTCTGTTATTCATAATAGGAGAGCTTTTTTTCCTTCCACTAATTCTCAGCTTTATTCCCTAGGAAGCTGAGGTGGTACGCATGAATCATAGAATCATAGAATGGTTTGAGTTGGAAGAGGACCTTAAAGATCACCTCGTGAACCTTACATCTTTCCACATGTTGGGCCACATTCTAGAAACTAGAGAAGAAAATCCATTCAATATACAGGGCAAAATAGAGAGAGAAAAAGAAGCAAGCTGTGACTTCAGAATCCAGTCAGCTAGCCATGTTTTAAACTTCTGAAGAGAAATATTTTTGTGGTTATTCTTAATTTCTCACTTTCCTTGTTAAACTTAAGTTATTCTTTCATTTGGATTTACAGGAAAAAAGGAGTTAGCAAGGATCTTAGCATCTTACATTTTGACTGTATCATAGGAGTGGAGAATGGTCAGTGGAATAGGGAAGTCATGTCTCCTTGAGGCTTCCGGTTTATCCTTTTTCTTTATTTCTAAGTCCCAATTTGGATTGTTCCTTTAAAAGGTGTTCTTCACTTCATGAAACCAAAATAAAATTAGTTTAGATAAATACAATTAGAGAAGATAGAAACAGTTTTGCCATCTATTTAGAGCATCTGTTGTATAATTTAGGGTCTGATGTAGACATGATTGTATCCAACCAAGGTGTTGTTTTTAATCTTCCTGCATATATGGGAATTAATAGGTAAATATTTAACCATATTTGTGCCAAACTATTTATGCATTCTAAAAATCCTTCCATCTCCTTTTAAAATAAATGTATTAATGTATCCTACATTTATCCTTAAAGTAGGACATTTTAAAATATAAGTTCTATGATATTTTATGTAGCATTATGGACATAGTACATTAGATAGTGTTTACGTGTTGCAGCTCTTGAGAAGATGTACGAAAGCAATTTTTTCACTGGGCCAGTCTTTCTTGGACAGAATTTGCTTAGTAATGTTTTATGGAATTATTCTTTTTTGCTATGAGTGACGTGAAAAATACCTTACTAATACAGAACGCACATGAAAATGAGCAGATTTTAAATGTATACAGTGTAAGTAACCTTTTCTCATAAAATAATAATAACAACGGATTTGTGTTTATTTCCATTAAGGATTTTGTGACTACAGTTACTCGTTTACTTGAAAGTCCTTCAACTTTTATTCGAGCAAAAGCCTTTCTGGTCCTGCTACAAGTTTTAATTAATAACAGGGAGATGTTGCTACTCAGTTGTCAAGCAAGGTAAGGTAATAGTGGAAGATAATTAGAGATGTAATGTTTATTTTCAAAGTCATACCTGAAATACTTTAAAATGTGTGGTATTTTTGAGCCCGTGTTTTAGGAGTGAACTGTTTTCTGTGTAATATGAATCCTTTTATTCATGAGACTATCAAGAAAAGGGTGTTCTCTTTTGTCTGGGGTCATCAGCTGATGGTTACTCACAAGGGAAAATCACTGTCTCACAGGGGGAGTCTGTTTTTTAAAGTAACTTGTGGTCGCAGTGACCATTAGCAAGGAGCAGATTTCGCTTTGGATAGGGCAAAACAAATACCACAACAGTGAGTTGTTGCTACAGTGAGAAAGAAAAAAAAAAAATCAAGTCTGTCGTATACCTTCCTCATCTTGGAGTGTGGTTGCTGAATGGGTCTTTTGATTTATCTTTGTCTTTGTCTCTGTAGCACAGCTCAGGAAGGATAAGGTGAGTTGTAGTCTTCCATAACAATCATGCATTGTTTAAAGGCCTAATCCTGCAAAATTCTTTGGTAGCCTTTTATTTCATTGAGTAAATTGACTTTTTGATGGAAATACACATCTCCTAGGAGAAATTTTTTTTTTCAGTCTTGCGGTTTTGTTGTATACTCTCGAGGCACTTTAAATAAGTTATTTTCATATGTCTATAAAAAAAGCATGGATTATAAGAAGGGTATTTAAAAAAAAAAGAAAAAAAAAAGATGATGATAATACTGAAGTACAATCTTAAAATCCAGATCATGGATTTTACTCACCAGCAACTGATGGTTCTTTGCACAGGACCCCCAGGGAGTTAGAATGTGAAACAAAGATGCCCCTAAAGGGAAGTCTGGCCCTTCTGTCTATTCAAATGAGCATTTTAAAATGTTGCCTGAAGCACTCTGTTACAGGTGTATTATTAAAGCAATCTCTTGTAAGTTAGCCAATGGCTAATAAATCAGTTAATATAGTTTACTATGAGAAATGTCATTCTGCAGAGTGGCATAGCTGCACAGAACTTATCAGTTAGAACCTAGGTGTTGAGTTTGTCTTTAGAAATCTTGAACACCAGGTTTCTAGAGAAAGAATGTAATGCTAGTTTGAACTTTTATCTCTCTTAATACAGCCATTCTAACTAGTGCTAACATTTTGGTAGGCTGTAGTATGATTTATGTAGTATGATTTTTCTTGACTGAAAGATTGATCTCTTGTTACGTTGACTTAAATTATTCTTGCTTTCGGGATTCTTACATGTTGAAAATGAATGTCTTCAGTCTTTTGTTCATATTGTGCACGTTGGTCATATATTTCAAAATAAAGTGGATTTTAAAATTAGTCTCTCTGTCTAAGTCTGCAGAGGGATTCACTCCTGATGTTAGCATCATATATTCGTTTAAACTAGTAGGGTTGCACTTACAGTAGCTTAAGGGTTTCTTTCCTCTTTTTCCTTGACACAGTCACTTGTGATATTTTAAAAATTGATTTATTTGAAAGGGAAAGTCTAAAATTTCAACAAAATTATGGAGCCCAAACTAATGTATCATCTTGATTGTAACCACGGATACTAGAAATGTCTGGTTCAGTAGTCGTTTTACTTATAGTGTCTTTTTTTTTGTTATAAGAGGTAATGTTTTGCACTTGCTTAAATGTAGACTTGTGATGTATATTGAAAGAGACAGCAGAAAGACCACGCCAGGAAAAGAGCAGCAAGGCGGCAGTGAGTACCTGTCAAAATGCCTGGATCTTCTCATCTATCACATTGTGCAGGAGCTGCCAGGAATTCTAGGTAAATTCAGTTGGTTAACTGAACAAATCTTACCTTTGCTTACTTCCTTGAGAAACAAATATCTCCTGACATATATAGGTGGAAAGACTGTATTGTCTGATTATGTAAATTTTGCATGATATCTGCTTCATGAAGTTTTTTGGTTATGTCATGATCAGATATTTTGTATTGGAACGCATCATTTCCTAGATTCATGTTTTATATTTGTTGAACAGTAAGCCCTATCAACTCAGTCTTGAATGAGGCCCAAATGTACAAGAAGTTTTATCAATGTTCTAAAGGTATTCCAAACATTGAAAAGCATAGAGTAAATTTGCCTCATAAAGCACAGAGCTAGGAGAGATGCAACAGGGCATACCTGTGCGTACGTGTTCATACTGAAACTTTTATGTTGAGTATTTACTTCAGGCAATTTTTGTGGAAAATTTCAACCTAGATATTTCAGTTGTTCTAGATGTCTCAAACCGATTTGCTCATGCATAAGAAGAGGTGGAAAGATTTTCTCTGAGAGAATATCAGTGCTACTTCAGCTCATCCCCTACACTTAGGAATAAGGACTTGACGTTTCAGCAAAGTAGCTTTTCTGCCAAAGCTATACATTTGGACAATTTTGTGAATATCTGCTCAAATTTCACTAGTATTTGAGCCACTGGAATGATAAGAACCTACTTTGAACTTTGTGCTGCTCATGTATGTTCACACAGAAATTTGCTTGAGTATAGCAGCTAAAGTCTTGTCATTAATTAATATGCTCAAACTTATCATAGTGGGATGAGGTACTGGTGAAGAGGGAGCTTGCAAGAAGGAACGTTGACAGGCATGCGTGCAAATAGGACAAAACCTGCGAACTGCAGGGCATCATTTGGACTGATTGGGCAAACTGGAATAGGAAGAAATTAGTTCAAGAGTCTGGAGAGTCAGTCAAGAGAAAGCAATGAAACAGAATGAGAATTTTGGCCATTTGTATAAAAGCAATAGATAAAATCTTGAAAAATTAAGGAGGATCTGTTGGTGAGATTTGAACATAGGGCTGATATTGAATTAAAGAAATGTCACAGAAATTACCCTAAATGAGTAAGAAAGGGGAATTGTCTTTCCTGGAAAAACCTGTGCTATACATAGTTAATTAGAAGCATGTGAAAGAAGAGAGGAAAGAAAGAAAGGAAGGGAGTTAGGAAGGAAAGGGAAGGAGGAAGGGAAGTCGGAAGAGGTGGGGAAGAGAAAGATAGAAAGAAAAGGAAGAAAGGGGAGTGGGGAGAAGGGAGGAAACTGAGTGGAGGGAAGGGCGGAGGGGGAGAAGGGAGGAAAATGGAGACAAGGAGGATGGAAGGAGCAAGTATGAGATTGGCATGGCCAGTCTGAATGATCATTAAAGTTCTTATTAAAACTTCTGGCGGGTGAGATCTCCCACAGAACAGAGTAAGAAAGCTGAATAGAAAGAAAAGGAAGGAAATGCTGTGAGTATTCGCGAAAAGAAAGGAAGCAAAACCAACCCTGATTGTGTATACTTTGTCATTAAATGATAGAACATTTTTTTCATTAAATTGTTTTCTGATGAGATGATAGCTAGTTTATTTTTCATCTTCTCTACATTATCGCTAGAATATTGAAAATGAAATGGTAGCACTGCAAAGGTCAGTAGACCTAAATGTCATGCTACTATTTTAAAAGAAGCCTTACTTCCTATAGCAATGCAAATTTTTGCCTTGCTGCAAATACCCAATCTCTTTTTTCTTAGTAAATATTAGCTTCACATATTGGCTATATTTCAGGATTTGGAAGTCTCAGACTGTAAATGTTTGAAGCAGAAATTCACCTCCTACTGACTGTATGTGCTATAGGCAGCTAATATAGTAGTCCCTGGTATTTCCTCAGAACCTGAAAGTTCTATACATCAAGTATATAGTTACTATCATTCTAATACATCAGTTGCTTTAACATGTACTCTGCTGGGTTTTTTAATACTGGTGTACAATTTCAGTGCATTGTTGACACCTTATATGTCAAGCATAATTTTTACACTTTATTTTCCTTTCCAATCTAGATTTGTGTATTGAGTGGCTTTGTTTGTTGTTTTTTGTTTGTTTGTTTTAAATTAAGACTAAGCTATCTGTCCATATTTGTCAGCATTTGTCACAAGGCCTTTTCTGTTTATTGCTATGAGTGTAACAAAAGAACATGTTCTACTTGAGGAGGTAAAAGCTATGGACTCCTAGGAAAAATAACTAGATTTGCAAACTGGAGCAGTTAAAAGCAGTTTAACTGTTGATTTAGAATTAATCCTAGCTGGCTTTTTTAATATGCATTTATGTAAGCTCCTTACTGATCCCATCTTCTTCCAGCAGATGTAGCTATAAACCAAATAGATTAACAAGTTGTAGAAATTGACCTTAAAAGATAGACTTAAAAAAATGAAACAAAATGTTAATCTTGTGGATAATTTTAAAAGTTTTCAGGTTTTGTAGGCAAGAAAGTAATTTTATGTCTGCATTTATATTTAAGCTATTTCTAAGAAGTAGATATAAATTGCTTAGATCATGGTAAAAATTAAAGTCATCATTTCTACCTATTTATCAACTGCAAAACTGGCAAATGCGACAATTATATAGGCCTCAAAACATA